GCGATGCAAGAGTTTCGAGTTTATTTAATAGACCTAACCCGATTAATAACAAAAAGGTTGGTGTTTACCAAAAAATTCTAAAAAAAGTATGTAATAGTAATAAGTAGAGTGTAACTATATTAAACTATAATGAATGATAAATGAAATCATTTCTTTAAATGGACGGACTATCCGGAAACCTACGGAACCGAATTTCCGAAACCAGGCCCACCACAAAAATCCATATTTAGTATCCAACCCCAACCCAAATTATTGAGGCATTATATGCACTATAGATAGTCCACGGATAGGCTAGCCCATGCGAAATCTGATTTACAAACATTAAATGCTTATGCATAATGACGTAATTATACGTTAATGAGTTTGGTGTTGAGAACTGAGTTATGAAACCAAACTTTAGTTATACAGCAAAATTTTGAGATACATATGAGCTGATCTTTTGAATTTTATATATTTTTTTAATCTTCAACCAATCCATTTTAAATGGATCAACTACCAAAATGTTTGTCCTCAATGGGATGAACATATTAGTAGTTGCTTCATTTAATATGAACTGGTAGAAGATTAAAAAAATATAAATTTCCAAAAATCAGCTCATATGAATAGCATTCATTCCTTAAGTGAAAAATGATTCAGGGCTAATTTGATTTTTGAGAAATTGTTAATCTGGTCCTTTTTCTCAGCACCTAGCCAAATTAATAATTTAAGAATTATTTAATAACGTATTAAATTTAATTAAAACTTATGAAATAATATTTCATGATTGTCTTGACATTTTTTTTTTAAAACAGGTCAGAATTTTTCAGTTGCATTTAACTTTGTTTTAATGGTTTAAAATTTTTATTTAAATTTGATAAAAATTCATCATCATAAAAAATAAGTACTATAATGACTTTTTTAATTCGATTGTCCGGTGAAAAGGACTCATTACTAGCACTTGAATCATACTAGTATTTATGTCTAATTACAAGATCTTCAGTATCGTTATCATATAATTTTTAAATTGATAATCAGCTCTTTTTTTTCAAGGGTCAGTATTACTATTACTATTTTTCAATGCGTTCAAATCCGAAACAAGATTTTTGGTTTATAAAAGCCACTATAAATTTTTTAACTTGAACACGACTTGTAATATAAAGAATCCAAGGTATTATGAAAAAGGAGAAGTGTATTACAATTATAAGTATTATATTGTATAAAGTTATATATATATAAAGTTATAATATAAAATAAATTAATTGTTATACAAAAAAAAAATTAATAATAATAATTAATGATTATTAACTGATTTTCGGGAGACGCTCTTAGATTTGTCACATGAATTTTAAGGGGTGCTACATAAGAAAATTTATTGCAGCAATAAGAACTTATTGGTCAATGAAATGTTTAAAGTGAATTATCAAATCTTTAAAAGTTTTCTTTGATTTACAATATTTGTATGTATATGTATTATACGAATTACTCTATCTATACCGTTTACACAATGCACATACTTGCATAATCAAGAAAAAAAAATATTAAATAAAAAAATAAAAAATAAATAAAAGAAAAAAAATAAATACAGTATAAAAGTAAATAAATGGACCCGAAATTTTTAAAGAACTTACAAATATATTTTAGAATGCATTTAAAAATATATACATTGTTTATTAATCGGAGCAATTTTCTTTTAATTTAATGAATTGATCCATTTTATTGTTTTTCTTTATTATAAACCACTGTCATTGTATTTATCAAAAGTTATAAAATCACATGGTATATAATAGTATATATATCATATATATATATATATAATGTGGATTTTACGAGAACCAGGCACAGTGTACAGATCATGTGCTGATGTTTACTTAATTGGTGAAACATTATCATTATCGTTATGGATCGTCTTCAATTCTAATTTCTAGCTTACGATTAAGAAACGAAACTATTCTCAAAAAATCATTGTTCGAAAAGTAATGATAGGCATTTAATTAAGAAAGAGGAAACATTTAACTACTTTGGGTTATCATTGAATGAATGAATAATGAATTAAGAATGAATGAAGAATGAATGAGAATGAATGAAGAATGAATGAAGAATGAATGAAGAATGAATGAGAATGAATGAATAAAAACAATCAACAAACTTTCAAGGATAACGATAATAGCAATCCTGTGATTTTTTATTTTTTCTTGATGCAGGATTTACCAAAAAAAATATATTTTTTCAAATTGATTGAAGACCCAATTAAGGCTCGATCTGACTGTACATTAATTATAGTTATAATAGCTAAGCGTAGGTCGATGAGATTAATATAGCAGCAAAATAAATAGATAGTAAACGAATAGATAAACGAAAATAGATAAACGAATAGATAGTAAACGAATAGATAGCAAAAATGAATAGATATTAAAAGAATAGATAACAAAATGAAATAATCGAAATATTAAATATGAACGAACTATTTAAACGATGCTTGCTTGAATAGATAAAGCATTCATTATAGAGCAAGAAATGTAGTTAATGAATTCTGTGACTGGTTGAATTCCATATAGGTAAGCAAGTACGTTCGTATGTACGTACGTACGTACATACGTATTGTATGTATTTTTTTTTTTAATTATTAAATTAAATGATTAAAAAAACAATAAGTATAACGTAATCAAAATGCAACTGCAAAAAAAAAAAAAAAAAAAAAATGGTACGATTTCAATACAGTTCTTCTTGGCCTATAGAAGATAATGCTTCGCCAACGCTCACAAACTTGTACGTACGTATAAAGTTTTTTTCAGTTGATAGTAGTACAGCACATACATATGTACATTGAAAGGTTGGGATGTGTTGATTAATAAGCAATAAAATAAGTGATAAAATAAACCATTTTCAGAATAGCAGACCATTTACGCCTTAAAGTTAAGTACCCTAAATAAAAATAATTAAGGATTACTAAAATTAGAAACTTTAAAGCATTTACATGATTTATTACGTCATTTAAAAATCGTATGATTTCTACCAATACCAATCAATTTTCAAATTTCTGCTACACCAAGATTTTTCTAGTTAGATTTACCCACCATCTTTCAATAATAATCTTTGATAACTATCTCCCTAGAATAGTGATGAAAAACTGAATTGTAGATCCCACATCATTACTACGGTCAGTATTATACTCATGATAGCAAGCATTTGATGAATCTTATAAAGAATTAGATTCACTAACCTTCCTTGAATTAATATAGTTTTAGTTACTCATACACTAATTTGGAATTTTCATGATTCCAGATTACCTTAAACTTTATATAAATCGTTAGGAAGCCCTTGGGTCATAGATATTTAATCCTCCAAAGATCTTCCTGGGTCCCGAACAATTAATAAAAGTAAATAAAAGATCACGAACCATTAAGTAAAAATTTTTTTTAATTAATTATTATTAATAACGATAAAATCTCACCTGATCACACCTCGGTAATTATATAGCATTTAGTATTAATCCAATAATGGAAATAATTAATTAACGTCAAATCGCAAATGGGGTAAAAAATAAAAAAAAATTGACTCAATTTGTACAGACCTTAATAAGTTCTGGCCTAGCGTTAATATTCATTTAAATAATTTTTAAAACATGATAACGATTCATTTTTTAAAAATAAACGTCTTTTACGACAAATGAAGTATAGCATACATAAGTTCTCGACTACGTATAATTAATTATGAATTAATGTTGTCATCCGTTATTAATATATTACATAGAAAGATGTTCTTTTTTTTAGCGAAATTAACTCTAATTACGTATTAAATTTTTATTTATTTATTTTTTTCCTTTGATACATATACATACGTATGTACTTACGTATACATTTAAGTATGTACGTACCTATGTAAAATTACCTGTTACGTCTGTCACGTCTGTTACATACCTACGTACCAAGATAAATAATCTAATATTTTTACATTATCGGTTATTTATTCTACATACGTACGCACGTATGTATCATACACTATGTACAATACTAGTACATACGGTACATACGGTTCATACGGTACATACGGTACATACGCTACATACGTTGTATTATCTTTATTATTTTATTATTATTATTTATTTTTTGACAAAGGTTTTTAACGACATTATCAGCATGAATTAATTGAGATAACAATCGAGTTCAAGGCTGTGTAGCCTAAAAAAAGTTATTGTAAATTTACCTTTTTTAGCATTATATAAGGGAAATTACCAGTATCAATTTGGTATTAGGTAATATCGGGCTTGTTCCTAACTTACCATTCATTGAAGTACAAAATGGATCTCCATTGAGGATACTACGTATATTTAAATACGCCATTTGACACAAAGGTAAATATTTGTATGTATGCATCAATTAACTTTCCGATGATGGCTTATATGTATATTATGTTCTTGTATAGCCCTACTTTTTTGGCTAAAACTTTTATGTAAAGAATAAAGATGCTAACTAAAAAAGTAAAGCATAAAGAAAAAAAAAAGATGTGCCTATTAAATTATAAAACGTAACGTAGCGCATGTTAATGTATCCAGGTACAAAAACTTTTGATTAAATTTATCAAGTATCTTAAATCTTCTCTTCATCTTTCTTGTAAAGTATTGCAGGTACGTAAGGTTTTGGTTTTCTTAGATATATATTTTAGATACGTATATTTTAGATATATTTTAGATATATATTTATATGATATATATTTTAGATATATATTTTAGATATATATTTTAGATATATTTCAGATATATTTCAGATATATATTTCAGATATACGTATTTTAGATATATTTTAGATATACAATTTAGATATACATATACACACATATATACACGTATATCTATATATATATACATTACATATTAAGGATTTTTATCTTTTATATTTTATAGGTCTTTGTATCTACAATAAGTCAAGTGCATCGCCAATAAAAGTAATAAAAAAAAGAAATCTATATAAAACCATTTTTTATGGTTTTGTTAACCTGACCTTTTGAACAACTGATATCGAGAAATGCACGATTTTCAAAAAAACATACCAAATAATTCTTCTCTTACGATAATAAAAAACGGTTTTCAATCATCTCAATCTGTCTCTCAACCACTACAAACTCAAACTCTTACTTTACTTCAAACGAACGGTACTTCTTCTCAACTAAACATTTTGAACTTTTTTAACTCTAAATCATGTCAACCATGTCATGATTGTTACTTTGACCAAACTATTCCTTCCAAGACACAATCACAACAACAACAATCATGGTTAACAAATCAGTATAATTTAAATTCTGTTACGAATCATGATAATATCGGTTCAAAAGATTTTGATTTATTCGATAACTTCTCAATACCACAAAATGAACAAAACAAGAAGACCGATTTTCAACTTGGTAAATCTTTATACATAAAATCCTTTTTTTTAAATAATGATCGATTAACACTTTTATTTATTTTTTTTTAAGGTGAATATATGCGTCATGACATTCAGAATACATCTTCCCCTCTTACTCCTTTGGATTCTACCAATCTTTGTGATGTAGAAAATGATTCCTCTGAAATGTATTCGCTTGATGAAACAATAATAACTACCGACAATGTGGATCAAATGTCTATTATAGATGAGGTAGATATTCATTTATTTATTTTATCATTTATTTAACGTTTATTATTTAATTTAAATGGTTATTATTTAACATTTATATTCATTTTTTAACCAATTTTTAGTCAGGTGAAAGATATACAAATTCTTTAACGGATAATTTAATGTTCTCCTTACCTTCAACAGTTTTTGATTCTTCGTCTACTCAGAAATCAATCTCATCAAACAATCAAATCTATATGAATTGTTCTCAACCTCAACAAGATCAACATTATCAATCTCAATCTCAATTCATACAACAACCACGTCAACTTAATTATTCTCTACCTCCAATTAATTTACCTCAAATTAATGATTCATCTCCGATTAATTTACCTTCAATTAATTCGGCAATTAATTCGATAAATATTTCGACGAACAATTCGACAAATAATTCAACGAACAATTCGACAAATAATTCAACGACAACCAATTCAACAACGAACAATTCAACAAATAATTCAACAACGAACAATTCAACAAATAATTCAACGACAACCAATTCAACAAATAATTCAACGACGAACAATTCAACAAATAATTCGGCATCATCAAATAATTATTCAACGACGAACAATCCAACAAATAATTCGGCATCATCAAATAATTATTCAACAACAAACAATTTAACAAATAATCCGACAACAAATAGTAGTTTAATTTCCTTTAAATATATTTTTTCAAATTCTAACGACACATATAGTACAAATAGCTTCTTAGGATCGGGTTCTCAAAGTTTTAATTTCAATATCGAGCAACGTTATCCTCATCAATTTATTTCCAGTATTCATCATCAACTACCAAGGACAATCAATGTTGTAAATGTTAATACTCTTCCTAACTCTGGTTTCATTTCAATTCAAACTCATCTCGGTGTCCTCCATCATCAACATCATCAGCAACATCAACAACATCATCAACAACATCATAACCATAATCATCGTCATCATCAACGTCATCATCAACGTCCTTCTCCTTCTCATCATCGACCCTCTTCTCGAAATTCTTCTCAAAATTCTTCTCAAAATTCCTTTTCTCATCATTACCATTCCAATGGTTCAATAAATCGTCTTTCAACTGAAGTTTTACACGAGATTTTATTAAATGTTCTTAAATCATGTGATTTATTCTCTTGTTTACTAGTTAATAGACATTGGTGTAAAATCGTTGCTCCTATCTTATGGCAAGCTCCAAATCCTGGTTTTAAAAAATCTAAATTTCTTGTAAGAACTTATTTACTTTGTTTGCCTCAAGATGTTAAAAGATCCTTAAAACAAAATAATATTCCCGTTCCTCCTGCTCCTCGTCGTTGTCTCCCGGCTTTTGATTATCCCTTTTTTCTTAAAAAAATTACTGATAAATTCATTAGTCGTCTTACCGAAGCTTGGTTATTCAAAAAATGGTCCGTTGATAAAGTAAAAGCTACTTCTCATTTAAATCTTATTTTTCATAATCTCTTTTTTTCAAGAGCTCAAAGAATTACCTCTTTAACTTTTGATGATGATGCCCCTTGGCCTTTTGTTGATCAACCTTTATCTTGTTTAAAATATTTATCTTTTCTTAAAATTTCTGCTTCAAATCATTCTGATAATAATCCTATTCCTTTTCTAAATTCTCTTTTAATTTCTTCTTGTTCAAGAATCAAAATAATTGAAATTGATATTGATTCTAAATATCTCAATTGTAATGATTCTATTATTAAATTAATCCTTTCTCAACATGATTTACAAAAAATTTCTTTAAATAAATGTCATCAAATCCTTAAACCTTTAGCTCATGTCTTAAAATCTTCTCTTTCTTTAAAATCTTTAAGGTTTAATAGAGTTAATTTTGACTCTTTTAAAGAAATTTTTGATGACAGTTTTATTAATTCTCTTAAATCAATCGAACTTATAATTTGTCAAAGATTAGATAATAAGTTTTTTAAAAATTTTCTTTGTAAAGCTCACAATTTATCCCAATTCGAATTTTGTGATTATAATTCTATTGATCCTTATATTTTAGATTTGATTATTAGTTTATTAACTTTAAATAATAATTTAAAATGTCTTATTTTAAGAATTTCCGGTGATTATTCCGATTATTCGGATTTAGTTGGAACTATAAGCAAACAATGTAAAAATTTAGAATACTTGGAATTACCTCAAATAAGAAAATTCGATATTTTAACTATTTTAACTTCTTGTCTTTATTTAAAATATTTTTATTTTATAATAGATTTTTCTTTAGATCGTTCTTTCTTTTTACAAATTGCTAAACAATTACCTAAAGATCTTAAAAATTTAATCATCACTGAAAGAGAAAAAAGACCCGCTTTTGATATTTTTACTTATAAATTATTTTTTAATTCTATGAATTCTAAAAATTTAAAAACTTTATATACTTCTGGTGCTCTTTTGGATCATCCTTATTCTCTTGATTATCAAAAAATTTTTTTAGATCATAATATTAAATGGAGTTATGAGGAAATTCCAAGATTATATTAACTTTTTTTTTAAAAATATCATCATATATGTTATATATATAATTTTTTTTTTTTTTTTTATCACCAAATTTTCAAAGATTGTAAATTATTAATGAAATAGCAATTTCTTTTAAATAACATTAAAAAAAAAAAAAATACGTACGTAGCACAACGCAACGCGTTGCGTTAAATTCTTATAGAATGAATAACAAAAAAAAACAAATTTATTTGTTTACAAATAAAAAATATATATTGTATATTATTTTGAACTATAAATTATATATTTCTGTATTTAAAACAATCAATTTCGATATTTTATTATGTGTTATGGTAAACTGCTATTTTTGGAGGTCATTTAAAGCCATGTGTGTTTAATGTATAGATCACGTGTTGTATAAGTTATATTCTTGATATCTTTATAGGCCAATAACCCTAACTGCATCAAAAAAAGCAACTCTAACTTTAAACGGTCGTCTGAAGCGAGGATAAATTACGTGACATAAACTCAATCTATTTATATAAACCAATCAAACCCTAAATTGGTCACATGAGTTGCAGGTGAAACTGGTGAAAATAATGGTGAAACTGATGAAATTAAATAGAACAGCTAAATGAGAAACTTTATGAACTTAAAATTAGTTTCACCTGCAACTCTAGTACGTACTCTAAGTGCTATTTTTTTGGTAAAAGATTGGTAAAGATTTAAAAGGTTTGTAATGATTTGTAAAGACCAATAATAATAATGATACTTAAAAAAAAATTTTTTTTTTTGCACGTTAAACGTTACGCATTTGTGAAATACTCCAAAATTTGACCACTAATATGACCACTAATATGTAAATATAAATTTTACTGAGATAATCAACATTCCCAAAATCATTATGCGTCATTTTAATAAATTCCTAGTGGGAAAATGGGTTAGTTCGTTATCGGTACAGATCAGAGATCTAAAAAACTTTTTCAGGGTTTAACATTGATTGATTAATATAATTTGGGAACCAAATGATTGGATTTGATGACCAATTGTTTGCTTAATTTCGCTAACGCGCCGTAATTGTAAATAAAATTAAATCATAGTTTATAGAAATGTATTATTGGTCTTTTACAAAATTTTAATAAAAATTGTAAGAACCATTAAGGCAGCATATCGATCTATATATACATAAAAGTCTTAGATAATAAATTTTATACATAAGATACGGTTTTTGATTTACATGGTAATTATGTCGTGCTTGAAGTTCACTTCTGCTTGAAGTTGTAACTAGGCCACGAACCCTTCCCTAGTTGTAACTTCAAGCACCTGAAGTTGGAACTGCCTAAAATTACTAACTAATGCGTGCAAGGAAGATCTAATTTCAGGAATTAATTTTAAATTGGGGGAAGTCTAAAACGGAGATAAATCATGTGACCAATTTAGGGTTTTATTGGTTTATATAAATAGATTGACCACTGATTTTTTATTTCACGTGATTTATCCTCGCTTTAGACGATCTCCTAAATTGGTAGATTAGTGATCAAAATCATTAGTTAATAAACCAACTAGTTGATAACTTTTCAACTAATCGATTTGGAAAATTTTGAAACAACTAGTTGACTAAAGATATTCCGTCTATTCGGGCTGGTTCGCGTTGATTTTTGACCAATCAACAAATTTAGTCACATGATAGTAAAAATCGATTAGTTTCAACTGTATAGATCGATTGGCAAAATTTTTACACTAAATCAGATGTCAACTTAAAGCACGAAAATTATGGATCCGTGTCATTTCACCGAAAATCAATTCATTGACAATCAATTCACCGACAAGTTTATTTCACCGACAACTATTTCAATGACAGTCTATTTTATCGACAAGTTTTTTTAAAAAAAATTGCACCAACCTTAATGCTAATTCTAAACTAATCCTAACGAAAGTGACGAAAATTACTTTGTCAGTGAAATAACTGTCGGTAGAATAAACTTGTCGATGAATTGAAATGGGCTGTTTGCGAAGTGATTATTGGCGAAATGAATACCATCCATTTTTTTAAAGCTAGTTATCATCACTCTTATTTCCTGAGACCTCATTAACAATATTCTATGCTTTAAAGTCAACATCAAACACAAGCTTTCAATATAGCATAATCGAGTGAATTTTGGTAATTTATAGAAAGTGATTCTGAATTATTTGCGTTAAAAGAATCTATTGATTTGTGATGTTTTGTTTTTGAAGTCCTTTGATAAGTATTATGTCGATTTACATTATGGATTGTATTTCTCTTTTCTAATGATTAGAATAATAGTTTCTATTTGAAATTGAACAACAATTAAATTATTATCAATATTATTTGACATATTAGCATTAGCTTCAGCAGAGACCGTTAACGTTACACATATATTAAAACTGGTGAGGGATTATATCCATCACAATTAAATCCAACATAACCAATTTAATTTGTGATTGATCACAGGCAAGAAGGATTCATTTTGGATCGGGCGCTGTCTCTGCTGTTGGCTACGTTCCCATAATTGGTCAGTATATGTTGAGATGGGAAAATCGAGGTTTTTTTGAATCTACTGCGCAGCCTGCACGGCCTGCACAGCCTCAATCCCTAGAGACTTTTACTCATTAGGTTTCGCGTTTATATATATAAAACATCTACTTCATATGTGTAAAGTTGGGCTC